GCTGCTGACTGGACAGAGCCACGTCAGCGACACTCCAGAAGCGAAGGGGAGTGTTGGAAACAATCGGTCCTAAGCGCCTCTGTCGTGTCGAAACACTAAGGCACAAGCGAAGCAAAGCATATCGAGGCACCAGCGAGTCAATGTTGAAAGCCTAAGTTGACTTAGGACTTGGGTTGAGGGTAGAACGAGAGTTACGAGAGGAAGGGGTCGAGAGATTAGCCAAAAAGGGGGAGATTCAATATTGAGCGAGGGTACAAATAGGAAAGAACAAACAAGAAAGGTGCACCACCAAATAGGAAAACGCTATAACATTGTACGTTACTGTACCTAGCGACATTGGTACGTACATGTACCTTTCAAGGCTGCAGATGTATACCCTAGTTCTGCTTCTCCCAGGATTCTATCATCCCACCATTGTACTGCACTGATAGAACAAGAGTTGCACATGATGGCTATTTGTTTTTGTATGGTAGACTTCTTACTGCAATCCTAACTTCACCAACAACACCAAGCTGCTGCTGAGAAGCATATGTGGGAATAGGTGACTGCACGCCTGTTGAGACTTCCATCAGGACACCACAATAGAAGTGAATCTGCAAGACCAAAGCACCAAGTTAGTTATCATAAGTTGCACGGACCATACCGGTAGATGCATGGAAGGTGGGCCACAATGTAACCTACTTTTCCATCAAAGGACCTGACTGGCGATACATGTAGTAGGTTCCAGAACTTCGAACCATCCCTTCTGCACAGGGTTTGAAAGTGCGGTAACTCATGAGCAAACAATCACCCACCAAGGAAAAACTGCAGCGCCCTTCCAGAATCAAGTACTTACCTGTAATTGAGGATATTTACAGAACATGACCTGCTCCCATGTATGGCCTCCCGAAGCTGTCACGCACAAAGTCCATGGCAGCATTGGATCATGCACGTTGCAAAAGAAATGCAAGCAGCATGCGCACGTATCACCAAGGTGTACAATATACAAGTGCATTACCGTACCTGTTGGACATGGTCCGGGTTAGTCTCTGGACCTTGAAGGAAGCGACAGTTTTTTCCCACCACTTCTTGCCAAGAATAACCTGGCAAACATACTTGTCTGTTAGCAATATAGGTATACGAGCAAGTTTTTGGAATCTTGAGTTGCATGTTCTGCACCTGTCATTCTTAAGAAGGGCTTGCTTGCATACACGATGGGATACTCTGAGTTTGTGGCATCTACCCTGCACAATTTCCACTTGTAAGCTGACAAAGCCAAATACGGAAACGAATGCACCTGATGCAGAGAAGGCCAACTCACAGTACAATGCATTGATGGATTCTTGCCAGCGATGTCTGAAGCGTTCCTGGAAGCTGAGGAACCGTGTCAACCGAAGTGCCTGCAGTCTCAGGACCTGCATTTCTCTGAGCGGGTAACGAGCTCTGAAGGAGCTCACAAAAAGAGGCCCACTTATTCGAAGCAAGCTCGGCTGATAGGCGAGCAAGCGACTCATATTCTTGAAAACGCGGGCCATCATCTGCAATGCCGCATACAGAACAAACGAGGTAGCTGGCGTTAACAGTCCATTCTTCAGATTGGACCCACTTCTCAATTTTCATAATTGTGGAATACCGCGAGCTAGGTAGCAATTGCAAGCCTGATGGAAGCTAGGCAACACTATCCTAGCGCGACGGGCATACGAGTTAGTCACAAAATGAATTTATCAGCAACCAGACTGCGCACCATTTTGGCCGATTTGTGCAAGACCAGCACCTGCATCGACAAGAGATGGGCTCTGTCCAGAAGCCAATGTTGTTGTGGCCTCCTCAGAAGCTTCAAACCGAGCAGGCAAACAAGTCTGCACGCCAATGTAATGCTCGAGCACATGTTTCGGACCCATATGAACAGGAGTTATGTGGAAAAGGTTCCAGAATGGAGTACCGTTCTTCGTATAGTTCAAAATCTGAACCTGGCATGACACTTCATTCCTGCACAAACGAATAATTTCCGGAGGGCAGGTGTCAGAATATGGAAGACGGCAGGTGTCAGAATCTGGAAGGATAATAAGATACGACAACCCTGTCACCGACCTAATAGCATCACGTATCTTCACAACTGCTCCCCTATCAGTCCCCGGACCCTGAAGGAATCTGCAATTTCGTCCAAGCACCTCCTTACGGGTGTAACCCGTTAGTTCGAGAAAGGCATCGCTGACATATACTATGGGATTGTCCTGCTGTTTAGGGTCCGTGACCACAAAACTGACATTCACGTCTTTGAGAGCGCAGAGACGCCTCGAAGCGCTCTCTTCCGACATGGTCTTCGCCAGCTGATTCACGGAAAAGCTAAGAGCACGTAAAAAACTACCCTGTATGTGGAAAGTAAGATCGTTTCTCACAGCTCACTCAAGAGAACTGTGTCGTTCCCCAGACAAGGTGCACAAATCGCAGGAGTGAGGCGAGGGTGACTAGAAGGGGAAATTTGTGGTTGACAAGAGCGCAAATGGAAAGGCGAAACACTTGCCACATCGCCAGAAAAGCACCGTATTCGTGACGTCACTTAGGCGCTTTCAGATTCAGCACAAATAGTTGTACACCCAGGATAAATACTACGTTAGCAATAACAGAAATAACCTGATTCAGGCCATTATGCTGTCAAGTTGAGCTAAACTAGATTTCTTTAACAAAATTAACGCTGTCAATTGGCTACGAATCTGCAAGCGGGCATTGCGATGCCAACACCGTAGGGGTGTTAATTAGGGTAAAGTAAACAGGCACGAATGGAGCCACGATCAGTTAAAATGCCCGCATACCCATGCTTCTGGGAAAAAGAAAGATCCTCCGTCATGCCAGTACGGCAGAAAGGACCAAAGTAACCTCATGTTGCCGCTGGCGCTTCATCTTCCTTCTTATCCTCATGCATTCGAACAACCACAACAGGGCAGTCACCTGAAACACAAAGATTTGAAAGCATTTACCTGAAACGGTCTGCAGATAATATGAGCAATCGTAGAACCAGGAAATAAAGGATTGCAGGACTTACAGTGGTGGACACAGTAGTCACTGACACTGCCCAGGCGTGCCTTCCTTGACCGCTTCTCTGCACCAAACCCTCGGCTTCCCATGATGCAGGCATTGACCCCAGCTCGCTCCACCTGTGATCAGCCAAAGAGGAGTTGCACTGACATTCGAGCCGTGCAAGCAAATGCAAATAGCTGCACAGATAGTATCAACCAGTTTTAGCGACATGCAATCTGTGATGTGTTGAAACGCGTGAAGCACTCGTATCCAGCATACCTCAAGGCAGATACGCTCTTTCATGTCATGATCTTTCACAATGTGGGTCTTGTACTGTATTCCAGCCTCTTCCAATGGAGCGGCAAGATCCTTCGCCTTCGCAACGGTCAGCGCATCGAAATCGTCCTCCATTTTCTGCTTCGTCTCCTTATCAGGAGCTTCCTCTGTTGTTTCCGATGCACCCCAATCCGCACCATATAACACGGAGGTGGGACGAACATGTAACAGCACCACCTGATAAACAACACAACGCCAGTTCACAGACCAGCGATGCGAGGCAGAACAGTCCATACTTTTATATATTTCCCGGTGGTATGACGCTAGCTCTTTTTTTTTACGTCAGATTACCCATCAATTCGAGTCTCGAGCATTATCTTTCCGAGCTTCCGTGCTGCGTCCTTTCCCGATAACACGTTGAACAAAAAACTCACATGGTCTGAAGGTCGCAGGTAGTTCTTGACAGCCCACTTGACCGCGTGAGCGCTTTCATCGCTCAAATCCACGGCTATTGCTATCTTTCGTGCTGGCTCCATGACTCCGCCTCCGTCTTTAACCTCAACCACTTCCGGGGATCGCTGTCGCTTCTTCGCGCCCCTTGGGCCTACCTCTGGAGCCTCTGTAGCCGCCACGTCGGCGAGTGCACAAGACTATCTGATGACAATGTTCCAAAGAAAGGTCGTCCTTCGAATAAGCGGAGCCAGCTACCGTACACGCCACAAAGAACCCTACCCGAAACTGGAGAATGAAATTGTTTGGTGCAGTGGGTTTGCCCTCGCTGGCGCCTGGTCAACTAATGTGTTTCCTATGTTGTGGCTTCACAAATGGTGGAATTAGTGGAGAAATGGCTTTTCGTGTTTGCGATTCCGTTTGGTTGAGGCTGGCTGCCTCGCTCGCCAGCATTCGTTTCCAAGTTGGATTACCTTAGGACTGTACCAGCTTTTTCGCCAGGCAGACCACGGTGCACACCCACATCGCCAGTTCGTTACGTTTCCATTCCATGCTGCAGTGGACAAAAGCTCGGCCATGTCATGATGGGACTTTCAATCTCTTAGCCAAAGACGCGTGGCAGATTAGATGTCCTAAAGTACACTTGTGCTGACAACTTTTGTAGATGCTATATATTTCTATATGTTGCACCAACCTTCATGTTCAGTTCAAGCTTGAAGCTTCAGACGGTTGAAGAGAATGAGAAAGTGCCTCTCAGGTAATGAGAAAACAAAGCCCAGCTCAGCACCATTTGTGTGGCGAGAACCCTGCCGTTCAACAAGCAAATCAACAAACATCAGGATCAGTCATTGGGCAAGGGTATTATGTCTGAATGATCGGATGAAATCGAAGGAGCATGGCGTGTACGGCTTGATGAAAGCACAGTTGTACGAGGCAGGGGAAGGGAGGATTGAGACGAGTTACCTTTCCATCGAAAACAAGCAGTTCGCCGTCCACCCAACGGGGGTTTCTGAAACCTGGCTCTGCCAGCTGACCCTGGCCAGGGTACCTAGCAACCTGAAATGACACAAGGCACAAAAACACACTATGGCATGCCCGTCAGGACGGCAAAAATCGCGTCCTGTATGTAAGAAATGACTCTGCACACATGTCGTAAAGGCACTGAATGCCGCAGACAAATTTAGACTGAAAAGAGGTGCTTTGCCCCACTTGGTACAGCCCAAAAAAAAAACAAAATATAAGCTGCCAGATAGGAGCTGGATGCTCGAATCGATGGATTAATTCGTGGTGGGCTCCTGAGAAAAGCAACCCACACAGGGAACAGCCCGTGAACAAAGGGATGCAGCGTGCAGTGACTCACCACACCCAGCTCATCAGGGTACACCCCTCGGAACGGCATCTGCCAATGCCGCCCGATCTTAGCTCGAAAAGACACCTGCGGGCAAACACACGCACTCCACGCTTATGTAGAGCAGTACCAACATCACTAGTCAGGCAAGAGCTCAAACCACAGACCAGCAACACAACAGCACCAGGAAATCTCAGCGTCACACCACAACTCGAGAAAAAACAAAGAATATAAACTTTCAAGCTAATAGCAGCCAAATAAACTAAGCACTATAGCTGAAGTCCCCGTCCCAGCGGAGGTATGGTCACAAGAGTATTACCTTCCCAGCAGGCACATTGAAGTCGCCTGTGAGCTTCACCCCCTCCACGTACTCAAACGGCGGCACCAGTGCCCGCTCGCCCTGCCTCTTCCTCCCCCCAACCCTCTCCCCTGCCTTCCCAGCCTGGCTCTCCTGCTCTTCCCCCTCTGGCTCCTCCCACGTGCCGAACCTACGCCTGACCTGAATAGCCTCGGAAGTGTACGGACCATACGCACCCACGTACAATCCTAAGGGTGTACGTGGTGAAAAGGGGAGAGACAAGCAGGGGTAATATTTAGTGGGGGTGTGCAAACCGAAACGCAACAACCCGTGAAGCAGCAGGAGAGAGTTCCAGAGCGTTTCAGAACCCAGGAAAACGTTACAGACAGAAAGAGAGGCTTATGGGCTCAGAACAAAAGGTGCATGTACCAGCAAAGGGGTCGGTGGAGGCATCGGCGGCATGGATGCGGGTGAAGGCGGTGGTGCGGGGCAGCGTGTAGCGCCTCCTCTGCACGTGCTGCACTGCCGTGCGGATCAGCTGTGCTACGTCCTTGTCCTTGAACACCTCCTGGCAAGATGATGGTGATGGTGAGGGCAGGATAGGGGACAACGGATAAAGGGGAAACAGGTACAGCATGCATAGGGCATAGATCAGCTGTGCCACGTCCTTGTCCTTGAACACCTCCTGGCCATGGGGATGGTGATGATGAGAACCACACAGGGCCGAGGCCGGACGAATAATGCGCACGTCAGAATTCACAAACGGCAGAAAGATGGAGGAATGGAGGAGCGAGGATAGAATGCAGGAGAGGGGTGATATGGTTGGGAAGGGTCTTACGGGTCCTGAGAAGCGGTCGACGCCCCACAGCTGCTTCGCCACGTCCTCCGGCATCAGGTTGGCCGCTGCCCTCGTTGCTGCTGACGCCAGCCGCTCACTCACCGCTGCCGCCACCGCTGCTGACTGCGATGAGGAGGAAGGGGAAGAGGAGGGAGATTGGGACGCTTCTGGGTCAGTGGCAGATGTTCCCGTGCTGCCGCTGCTGCTGCTAGCTGCATCCCCGTCACCCTCGCTGTCCTCCACAGTGAGCACGAACGCGTCCTTGCCTCGCCACTCTATCCTCGCAGGCACCTTGCTCACGCTCTCCCCCGCACCATCCCCCGGGAACACCCCCCCCACCACCACGCGCACGGCAATGCCCTGCCGCCCCTCTGCATCCTCCGATCCTTCCTCACCGTCGCTCCGCTCCGCCCCGCCTTCTCCCTGCCCACCACCAACTCCCCCCCTGCCTCCACTGCTTCCTTCTCTGTCCAGCCCACCTGAATCTTCGTTCCTGCCTGATTCTCCTCGGCTGCTGCTGCTGCTGCTGCTGCTGCTGCTGTTGCTGCTGTCACTGACACTAGAATTCCTACTATCACCTGAGCCCTCGCCGAGCATCCCGTTTCTCTCTCGGAACGCCCTCAGTCGCCTCAAGTCCCGCTCTGGCAGCTGACTGGCACGCCTTGGGTCGTCCGCTCCGCCGACCCTGCTCCCTGCTCCTGTACCTGCTCCTGCTGCCTGTACAGACTGTGCTGCAGCCTCTCCCACTTCAACTGCCTCACTAACGCCTCCATCAGCTTCAGGAGTCACACTACTGGGTCCCTGCTTTCTGCTCTCCCCTTCACTCGTGTCACCCCTGCCTGGAACAATCCCTTCACTCGCATCGTCGCTTCCATCTGCTCGTTTCAGCCCCTCACCAACCTCTACGCCATCACCTGCATCACTGTCACTTCCAGAACCCCCCTCCTTTGCTCCCTCGCCCGCTGCTGCTGACGCTGCTGCCTCCCCCGCTGCAGCAGCAGCTGCAGACTCCCTGTCCCTCGCTATCCGGTTCACCACATCCTCTACTATTCGTGGAATATCTGCAGTTCCCGCCGCGCCCGACACGTCTGGCGCTGCCACGTCAGCAGGGGACACCACCGGGAAGACCCGCAGCTTCACGTCTGGTAGCCGCTCTCGGAAGAAATCGAGGACCCGCGATAAGCTATCGTCGGCGCCGGGTGGGAGAGACGAGGGGGGAGAGGAGGCAGAGGAGGCAGAGGAAGGGGAGGAGGGAGGGAAGGAGGCAGCGGAGGGAGAGGGAGGAGGGGTGGGTGGGACTGGTGAAGGTGAAGTCTGGCCCGAGGCTGGATCTGCAGGGGATTGAGATGAAATGCCTCCCTTCTCCCCTGCTCCTGCCCCTGTGCCTGGACCACCCACTTTGCCTTCCTCTGCTGTTTGCTTCTTTCCCCAGCTGAACGACACAGCATCCTGAACCCTTTGCACGCTGGATGGTGACGTGGATGGCGCGGACGCGGATGTTGATGATGATGGGGACGAAGACGAGGGGGCAGCATCGGAAGCGCTGCTGCTGTTCGAAGCAGAGGTGCTTGGCGGAGGGTTTGTGGTGGTGGTGGAAGCGCCTTTGGCCTGCATGGTGGCTGTCTCATGGTGGAGGTACACGGCCTGCACAGGTAGTGGAGAAGAGAAACAGGGCCGGGGGGAAGAAGGAACTGGGTTGAAACGGCACAATCATGCATGCAGGCTAGTAGTGGTTCACGCTCTTCACCTCACAGTAGCATTCGTTTTACAGCATCAAGTGAAATGCACATTTCTGCGGTGCCAAAGATAGATGTGCAGTCGAAACAGCATAGCGCGCACCTGGCGGTCGTATCGCTTGGGGTTGGCGGCATTGCGAGCCACATAGACCTCGAAGATGGGAATGCCCTGCCCTGCCACGGACAGCTGCCTGCCAACATCACACAGACACAACCACAAACGTGCAAGGTACGGAGGGAATCCTTGAACTGGCGGATGCAAGAACATAAGCGCACGTCGGCAATATTCCCATCCATGTGCCCATCTGCTCACGTTCACCCTCTTGACCTCGACGGGTCACGGAACCATGCATGGCAACATGAATGGAAGGTTGTTTTTGAGGCTTCTCAAGAACAACCTTTTGTAATGGGGTCATGCATGGCGGCTTACTTGGCAGTGTACGACTTGGCGAGCAGCTTGCCGTGCTGCTGTGACACGTGCACCAGCCGCCCAAAGGGGTCTGCTGACCCACTCTCGTCCAGGCCCGCCCACCACCCCACCTGCACGCACATGCAGAGAGAGCATGAGCCCAGCACATGCAGAGAGAGCATGAGCCCAGCACATGCAGAGAGAGCATGAGCCCAGCACATGCAGAGAGAGCATGAGCCCAGCACATGCAGAGAGAGCATGAGCCCAGCACATGCAGAGAGAGCATGAGCCCAGCACATGCAGAGAGAGCATGAGCCCAGCACATGCAGAGAGAGCATGAGCCCAGCACATGGCACATCACGTCCTCGAGCTCCCCGTTCACGCATCACATTCCTGGTGGCGCTGCAATCTTCTTCGTCTTTGCCTTGGCATCTTCTGAGACGCCTCAAAAATGCAATCTTCTTCATCTTTACCTTGGCACCTTCTGAGACGTCTCAAACATGCAATCTTCTTCGTCTTTGCCTTGGCATCTTCTGAGACGTCTCAAACATGCAATCTTCTTCGTCTTTGCCTTGGCATCTTCTGAGACGTCTCAAACATGCAATCTTCTTCGTCTTTACCTTGGCATCTTCTGAGACGTCTCAAACATGCAATCTTCTTCGTCTTTGCCTTGGCATCTTCTGAGACGTCTCAAACATGCAATCTTCTTCGTCTTTGCCTTGGCATCTTCTGAGACGTCTCAAACATGCAATCTTCTTCGTCTTTGCCTTGGCATCTTCTGAGACGTCTCAAACATGCAATCTTCTTCGTCTTTGCCTTGGCATCTTCTGAGACGTCTCAAACATGCAATCTTCTTCGTCCTTGCCTTGGCATCTTCTGAGACGTCTCAAAAATGCAATCTTCTTCGTCTTTACCTTGGCACCTTCTGAGACGTCTCAAACATGCAATCTTCTTCGTCTTTGCCTTGGCATCTTCTGAGACGTCTCAAACATGCAATCTTCTTCGTCTTTGCCTTGGCATCTTCTGAGACGTCTCAAACATGCAATCTTCTTCGTCTTTGCCTTGGCATCTTCTGAGACGTCTCAAAAATGCAATCTTCTTCGTCTTTACCTTGGCATCTTCTGAGACGTCTCAAACATGCAATCTTCTTCGTCTTTGCCTTGGCATCTTCTGAGACGTCTCAAACATGCAATCTTCTTCGTCTTTGCCTTGGCATCTTCTGAGACGTCTCAAACATGCAATCTTCTTCGTCTTTGCCTTGGCATCTTCTGAGACGTCTCAAACATGCAATCTTCTTCGTCTTTGCCTTGGCATCTTCTGAGACGTCTCAAACATGCAATCTTCTTCGTCTTTGCCTTGGCATCTTCTGAGACGTCTCAAACATGCAATCTTCTTCGTCTTTGCCTTGGCATCTTCTGAGACGTCTCAAACATGCAATCTTCTTCGTCTTTGCCTTGGCATCTGACGATGTCTTTCAGGCAGTCTATGAACTGCTTGCCCTCGTTTGATCCGTGATCCTTGCCCTGATAACAGACCAGCCTGGGTTCTTTCCCTCCCAGGTCACATGTGCTGCTCGCACTCACCAGGCCAGCCCCAGCATCGTCGCGAAGGTGTTTGGCATCGCCGTACCTCTCCTCCGCCACTGCCGCCTGCTTGCCAGGCGCAGAGGGGCGAGAGAGAGCAGGGAGGTCAGAGGGGAACCAGGCAGGGGAACGCGAATGAGTGGAGAGAGGGGAAAGGCACGGGGAAAACGAGGCAGGAAAGCCGGGCAGGGAAGCAGGGCATGAAAACGGGACAGGGAGGTCAGCGAGGATAGGAGAAACAGCCATGTGTTGGCACCTTGAGCTCTCTGAAAACGGCAGCCATGGCGTCTTGGTCCTCCACCGCGCGGATGGCGGCCTGCAGCTTGGCGGCTGCCGTGAAGTCCTCGTCTCCCACCAGGTCGTCCAGTTGAAACTGCACAGACAGAGGGGTGTAGGTGCGGGTGAGTCCATGAGGGTGCGAGGAAGACAGAGAACGTCTTGATTCAAAAGGCTGCAGCGAAGTCCTCGTCGCCCACCAGGTCGTCCAGTTGGAACTGCGCAGACAGAGGAAGGTAGGTGAGTCACCCACAGGGCGAGAACACGAGAACGAGAGTGCGTGCCAGCACGAGAGCAAGCGAATAGCAGGAGAGCAGGAGAGGGGTGTGAGAGAAGGAGAGGAGAGGAGAGGAGAGCAGGAGAGAAGGGTCGAAAAACGAATCAATCTTAGCGTGTTTCCTGTCCCCACCTGCAGACTCGTCAGCATGGCTTCTCGCTCCTCCACCTCTCCAAACACCCTCTCCCACCGTTGCCACGCCGTCTCCCCGCTCCCATCATCCCCCTCCACCTCCTCACCCCTCAATCCAACCGCTTCCTGACCAAACCCCCCTGCACCCCCGACCAGGCTCGTCTTATCGAAATAGTCTTGCAGCCGTTGGGCTGCCACGGCCACCATTCCCTTGAAAGGATCGCTTCCGGATTTCGCGGCAGCGGCTGCTTCTTCTATCCGTTGCAAGCGCTCCTTGGCGCGGTCTGACAAGCTGCTGGGCCGCGAGGATGGCTCGTCGGATTCATCTGACGGATTTGCCTCAGGTTCAGGCTCCTTGGCGAGGTATTTGCTCACGGATGCGTCGCTGGAATCATCTGGTTGACGACCCTTGGAGTTGGACTCGTTCGGATTGGACAGCTTGCCGATTGGCGAATCTGCTTGTGTTTCGCCAAGCTTGTCGCCTGAGAATGTATCATCCGGGGTTTGAGAGGACTCGGGGAAAGAGTCGTCCGATGGGCCAAGCTTGGACGAGCAGCGAGCAGGCTGTGCTGTGACATGCTTCTGAATGAGCCCTATCTGACGGAAACGGGTTCGTGAGCATGGTGAGAGGAATTCCGAGCGAGATAAATGGCGCTGAGGGGGCGAAGTTCGGAACGAGCGTTGGTTGCTTAGACGGCCTGATGGACGAATAGACAACGATGGTAGTCCAAGCGAAAATTTCCGAAACGACTGTGACTGTGAGGTAGGCCGGAGTACACGCGAAGGTACTAGCTTCAAGCTGCGAGGCCTAAGAAGCAAGGGAGCGTCTAGCGTAAACATGGCGAACCGTAAGCAGCAGTAGTTGTCCTAACGCCGACGGAGCACAATGGTGATGAGTTTCCTTGTCCTAATCCACAATGCGTGGTGAAGTATCTGGACGATATTTTGAGCGTCGAACTTACTTACTGCACGATAGTCAGAGAAATGTCAGGCAGCGAGCCATCAGTGATCAACCCTGCTGAGATGATTTCAGCCCATTCTGCCCTGGAGTTGCGACGCACACTCGGGTAACCGTTTCGCTGCCAAAACGCCAGTGCCTCGCAAATCCCCCCCCTAGAGAGTCATGCCAAACAGCAGCTGCCCCGAGGCTTCTGGATTTTTGCTGTTGAGGCTCGGCTCACGTGAGTGCTTTTTGCAGGTAGCCACGGAGGTGGCTCACAGCTTCGGTTCGGGTTAACCAATCAGACCTACGTGGTGCTCTTGACAAGCCGAGTCAGCCTCTGACTCGAAGTTTGTGAACCTGCCCAAGCAGAAACGAAGCCAGTGCTCAGCGGCCACGTGTTCTCGACCAATAATAGCCACTCGGAGCACCTGTTGGTCAGGTGAACATAGCTGGCGATTCGGTTCGGAGAGCCTCCCCTTGACATTCTCCCCACTGGTCTCCACCCCGCCAAGTATATTCTCATTCTGCCATGGCGGCTGTTTAGAGTCTGCATTTGAGAATTATTTTCCCACTCTCGTGAAACACCATGTTCACTATCTCGACGTCCGAAGTCGCCATTTCCCAGCTTCACTCCCTGACCTCAACTCGATTCTTACGTTCACATAAACCGATAAATAGCACTTCAAACAGCTTTTTCCCGCCATGCAAACAACCACCTTTCAACCCCAGGCGTCCTCTCCGTCGCAGCTGCGCCGCTGCAGCAGCAGATAACCAGGCGAGTGAAGCGGAAGTGACGGAGATCAACGTGTGCGTGGGGAAGACCTGTCGCAAGGACGGCGGGTTGCAGACGCTGGACCACTTCCGCGGCCTCGCGCCGCCGCACGTGAATGTTGACTCGTGTGGATGCTTGGGTGAGATGACAGTTCGTTTCGTGGCGTATGACGCATGGCGTGAAGGAGATGTCTGGATGCAGATGAAGCAGCAAAACCACTCACTTCTCTCCAATTTTTTGGCAGTTCTTCGCGTAAAACTGTGAGCTCTTGCTGGTCATGACGCACGGTCAGGCAACATTGACCGGCACTTCTATCTTCCTGACCCCTCCTTACAATCACAGGGCGGTGCGGAGCAGGCCCCAATCTGGTGCTGCTGCCGTCGCAGACGATCATCCGGCACTGCAGCACGGCGGCGCACGCGGCACGGCTGCTGGAGAGGCAGTGCGCGGGGGGCAGCGCGGAGACGAATCTTGCAGCTCTGGAGTTGAAGGGTCGCGGCAATGCAGCTTTTGAGAAGGGACGAGCGGACGAGGCTGAGATGCTCTTCACCCAGGTGAGTGCGCTGGGAGATGGAAGGGGTGTGGGGGAGGAGGGTGAGGAGGAGGGAGCTAGGGGTGTCTGATTATCTTTCAATGCTGCTAGTTCTCCCTTCTTCTTCCTCACCGCGTTTGGCCTCTCCCGGCCGCATCTCTCGCAGGCCATTGAATTGGTGCCTGTTGGGGGAATACACAACCTGCTTTGCAACAGGTGAGTAGTGCAATGCTGGCCTGAAAGGCTCCTGTCGGCAATGTAGACCCTTTTCATATATATTCCTGGTTTGTGGTGTCTTGTCTGTGCCAGATGATTGAGCCTGAGCATTCCTTCCTGTGCAATGTACTACTGCATGTGCTGTATCCCCATGCAACTGAAGATCTGCCGCAAGGGTGGCATGTGGTAACCCAATGGGAGCACTGGAAGACGCTGAAGCTGCGGCAGCACTCAAGCCTGGTTGGTCCTCGGTAAGCCCTGCCTTACCCCTTCTTCCCATGCCTGAACGCAATAGGGCTCCTGTGCCACCCACCTGTGCCACCCACCTGTGCCACCCACCTGTGCCACCCACCTGTGCCGCCCACCTGTGCCACCCACCTGTGCCACCCACCTGTGCCACCCACCTGTGCCGCCCACCTGTGTCACCCACCTGTGCCACCCACCTGTGCCACCCACCTGTGCCACCCACCTGTGACACCCACCTGTGCCACCATCCTCCTCAGCTTGCTTGTTATTCCCTATCCCCCTCCTGTTTCCCCATCACCTTCATTCTCCAAACCCTCAGGCAGTGATTCGAAGAGGAGAGGCGCTGGCAGCGCTGGGGCGGGTGAGGGAGGCCCTGGAGGTATATGAGAGGCTGGCCGACACAGACGCTGAATTCAGGCGCTCCAAACAGTTCCTGGTAAGCCGGGTGTCTGTCTGCCTGCCCACAGCTTTGCACCAGTGCAAGATGATCTGTGTTTGCACCTACTGCAAGGTGAAGGGTTGCGTGTTCCTGGCGCAGCTCTTTTAACCCGCTCCTCTGTGCCATTTGTGCTGTGCAGCGGAAAGTGAAGGAGCTGGAGAAAAGGATGGAGAGAGCAGCATGATTTGCTGTGCATGACAAGGTCGACCAGCCGCGACAACCTGTGCCCCATTACTGCCAAAGCGTGCAGCAAGTATAATATGGGCTCAGGGCTCTCGTTATCAGGGTAAAATACCCTTTTTGCACTGACTGGCGGCCGCTTTTTTTCAGTTACCCGTTCACAGACAGGGTAGTGGATTTTTTACCCTAGGCCAGAAAGTGTAAGTTTTTTTGTACCCTTTGAAAAACAGCTTAAGGAACATATTTCCCTGACTGTACAGTGTACAATCCCAGTAATACTGATACCGAATGCTACGTGGCGAGACGAAACACTGTGCGGGCCCCTGCCAAAACACTTCACCGAAATTTGAACCTGCGCCTTTCAGGCTCTATTCCCTAACACAACAGCTGAGCCACTAAGCCTTGAATTTAAAAACTCAGAAATATTTATAGAGTAATCTCTAAAAAAAATACCCTTGCCAAACAGTGTTACAGTTTTTTTACCCTGCATTTGTCAGGGAAACAAAAATTTTACCTTAGGCATCAGGGTTGACTATACCTAGAACCCTGATTACTAAGGGTGGCCCAAAACGAATCTGAAGCCCTGTATGGGCTTCTGGTTTTGTGACCTTGACAAACATGTAGATTAGGTAGTATCGTGCAAAATGTAGCAACTTGGTAAAAGTCAATAGGAACTCAATACTCCCAACGATGTACAGTGTAACAACCATGCCTCGTATTTTCCTCCCTCTGGGGGACAGTCTTTCACACAAATGATTGGAGTACTGTGCACTGTAATGTTTGTAGAGGAAAAATAGCTATCGGGCTGCTGGAAAGCAAAATGTTACCTACAATATGTATGTAGATATGTGTTTCCATAAATAACATACCAGCATGGCTCCAACCACGCCACCTCCCTGCTCTGAGCACTTCCCCTTACAATCTCTAGCACACCCCGTTGGTCTTGGCAATGCTGTTCTTCTTGAACACCCTGAAGGTGCGCTGGCGCAGCGCAGACGAGTCCATAGAGTGGCTGTGCTCCAGCTTACTGGGGGGCATCAGCCGTGTGCCTGCCAGCGGCGACAGCACATACAACTCATCCGCTGCCAGGTCACGTGCCAGCTTGGATCCAGGCTTGGGAACCTCTACTGTAATGGGCTTATGTTCGGGCACCGAGGCAACCGCAGCAGCAGCGGCCTCAGCCGTGGATTTGGTGCGGGGCATACCCACGCCCCTGTCCTCCAGCATCTTTACTGTCATGCGCAGGTCGTTCAGGAAGCGATCCGCAAGCGAGCGAGAGAAGTCCTCTCGGACGAGAGCGCGCAACATTGTAACGTGTTCAAGATCAGGTGCCATGGTGTAGGCGGGGATGATCCACCCGAACTGCTTCAGCACATCAGCAATGTCATACTCGTTGAAATTGCTATTCTTCTCCTTAAGAGCGAAGGTGACGAGTGGCACACCAACATCCTTGGAGAGGATCTCAAAGCACCCCATGTCCTCGATGGCCTTCTTCAGATACATGGCGTTCGTCTGGCAGTTGCCTATGATCTTGCGGTAGCCCTGTGCATGGCAGCGGGGTTTTGGGGGGGTTGGAAGGTGTGGGTAGTGGGACGGATGGGAAGGATAGGGAAAGGATGTTAAGGGGGGGAGGAGGAGGGGGGTGGGAAGGGCTAGAGCGAGAAGACAGGTGCGGGGGACAGACAGGCCAACACGACGGGTTCTTTATAACTAGCCCAAGCAGTTAAGACTAGCAGTGTTAGCCAAGTTTCGTACATTCAAACGATCGATCAGAGCTCACCTCAAAGCCAAGGCGGACAAACTGGTAATACTGTGCGATCAGCTGGCTGGAGCCTGCATTAGGAAATGCGGGTGTGCGAGAGTGAAATGGGGGTTGCAAGTGAATGCGTGTTTGATTCACGTGGGATCACGGATGCGTGGAAGGAAATACGAAGAGAGGAAAAAACTGTAGTAGGGAACAGTACATTTTTCAGCTAGTTGGTTCTGTGGGATGATACTGCTGCTCACACTAGATTATTCCCCCCCTTATCCCCGAATTTTCCCAACTAAACTTCCGATTCCTCACCCATCATCCCATCTCAGCGCACCTTTGGAGAAGTTGAGCGTGAAGGTGGGCTGGTCAGCGCCCAGGTAGTTGACGTGGAAGATGAGGTCCTCGGGGAGGTCGGCCTTGCTGCGCCACACCACCCACCCCACGCCGGGGTACACGAGCCCGTACTTGTGCCCGCTCACGTTGATGGACCGCACCGTGGGCAGCCGGAAGTCCCACTCCAGCTCCGGCCACAGGAACGGCGCCACGAACCCCCCGCTCGCCGCGTCCACGTGGATCGGCGTGTCCCACCTGTAATGTGCGGAGAGGGTGCGGGGGAGAGGGAAGGGGAATAAGGGGAGGCAGGAGCGCTGGAATGAAAGAGGGAAAGTGACTCCAAGTAGGGGAAGATGTCACTAGCTGCACATTGGTTACTAACGGCCATTGATCTAAAATGAGTATCCAATAACTTTTTTTAAAAACTGCTTACCCCGTCTTGGCATTCTTCTCCATGAGAAGATCGTTCAGAAGCTTGATGTCCTCAAATTCCCCGTTATAGGTGGACCCGAGAATGCCACAGATGCAGATGGTGTTTTCGTCAACAGCCTCCACGGCATCGTGCGGGTCCATCACGAACGACCCTTCCTTCACATTCACGAACTTGGTCTCCACCTCGAAGTAATTAGAAAACTTCTCCCAGCACACCTGAATATGGATCGAATCAACCGGCAAACGCGAAAACGGTAGAGGGTATGGGGGTGCAAGGGAAGACGTTAAATGGTTTGGAAACGCGAGACGCAAACTTGCAAAAGAAATAAAGATCAGAAACAGCATTCAGCAATTTTATAAACAATGTAGTTTACCTGGACTTCAGAGCCGCAGACGAAGTTGGGCTTATCGTACGGCTTCCCCTGCGCCTTACGCTTCTCCTGCCACTTGCGCTTGAACGCGAGTCCCGCCAGCATGATTGCCTCTGACGACCCCACGCACCCCGCGCCGATCGCGCCCTCTCCATCCCCAAGAGGTGCGTTGAATAGATTCGCGATAATATTCACGCAGCGCTCCTGCAAATGAGAAAAATAAAAGACATGAGAATAAATGTTGAGAAAACATTGTACGGCAAAAAAAGAAGCACACTTGCCAGCCATTTGACAGGAATGCGGACCTGGAGTTCATTGGTGACTGGGTACTCCTCAATGTTGATGTAATTCTTGTTAAGGGATTCCATAATGAGCCGGTCGCACTCAGGCTCCATCCATGTCGTCACGAACGACGCCAGATTGAGCCGCGGGTTGCAATCCAGCAGCAGCTCGTCGTGAATCATCTGATAAGCCGCCTCCTTGGGGATACCTTCCTTGGCAATCTGATACCTGTAGTATTGCAAAATGCAGGTTTCTTAGAATAGTTTAAGAATATTTTCACTACGGTGGTCTCGCAATGTGAAAGATGGAAAGTGACTTTCCGCTGGCAACAGCATTTTCCATTAAAAAACCTTGCGTGGATGCAGGAGAAAAGAGAAACTTTTACTTGGGAACGCTCGCAGATGTGTAACGCGAGGCGAAGACCGACTCGACGACATGGTCCTCGCCAGCACCAGTCGTTGTGTGAAGCATGGCTGCAGACGATAAGGACACGCTCTTTGCAGGAACGAGGATTAACAGCTCGAAATAGGAAGCTGGTACCGTGAAAAATACAGCAGATAACTCTCGATACACACGAGTGAGGTGAACGCGTGTCTTGAAATGCAAGCTCTTCACAAACTCAAGAAAATGGCGACTTCACACAAACCGATGTTTCAACCCTCCCTGCTTGATTGGAATTCGGTTGGGTTGGGGACAGCAGGATGGTGCAAAATACTGGTTCAACATTGTGATTGGTTCGGCATTACCTAGGGAATTACCTTACCTCTCAAATTTAGGTTTGGTGACTTGGTCGAGATTTACCACAGGCTCGGCACAGGTGACCCTGCATTCACCATGCCCTGACGCTCGACAAACTGCCCGGTCAGCTGTGGGTTTCATTGGACCACGCTATGGCCCGATGAAAAAGGGCAGAAACCCAAATCGCCAAAAAACAACCACAGACTGCGCTCAAGAATCAGAGAGGCTGACCTAGCATTCAGTGTGTTGAAAAGTTATGATTGGGGGCTCGCAAGTCTGGGAAGCGGGAATCACGGATACAGAACAGATATATCTCTTTGAGCCCGCTCATAATCGCAGCTGGACACGTGGCTATATGAACCGTACACCTTCTTAATTGACAATTTATAAATTGCACGAAAACGGGAATATGGGAATGCTCACAGCTCAGTGATTCCAGCAACCTGTAACTCATGCATACAAGATCTTAATTTCTTAGATAACACAATTTCATATACAGCACCACACTGTCATGCGCAATATGATGGGAAACATTCAAGCATTGCATCAGCCACAGCAGTTTCATGCTCTGCGTGCTTCCCCTCCACCATCGGTGCTTCTAGCACACCCCATTAGTCTTGGCAATGCTGTTCTTCTTAAAAACCCTGAAGGTGCGCTGGCGCAGCGCATATGTGTCCATTGAGTGGCTGTGCTCCAGCTTATTGGGCGGCATCAGCCGCGTGCCCGCCAGCGGCGACAGCACATATCCCTCGTCCGCATCCAGGTTCCGTGCGAGCCTGGACTTTGGCTTGGGGGCTTCCCCTGCCACGGGCGCCGCCTCAGGGATGGAAGAAACTGCAGGAGCAGCAGCAGTGGGGGCTGCCGGAGTGACTGTGCGTGGAGCGGTGGTGGCCCGGTCCTCCAGCATCTTCACTGTCATGCGCAGGTCATTCAGAAAGCGGTCGGCAAGCGAGCGAGAGAAGTCCTCTCGGACGAGAGCGCGGAGCATTGTAACGTGCTCGAGGTCAGGGGCCATGGTGTAGGCAGGGATGATCCACCCAAACTGTTTCAGCATGTCAGCAATGTCATACTCGTTAAACGAGCCATCCTTTTCCTTGAGTGCAAAGGTGACAAGGGGCACACCAACGTCCTTGGAGAGGATGTCAAAGCACCCCATGTCCTCGATGGCCTTCTTTAGGTACATGGCGTTCGTCTGGCAATTGCCTATGATCTTGCGGTAACCCTGTCGAGAGAATGGTTGGAGATGTGGGAAAAGATGGGATTGAAAGGATACATAACTTTCAGGAGGTGGAAAGGATTACAGGGAGAAGATGGAGAATGAGGGACGGGAATAGGACCCTTTGACAAAATTCAGTAGAAACAAACCGAATTATGGTGGAAGCAAAAACTCTCACCTCAAAGCCGAGGCGGACGAACTGATAGTATTGTGCGATCAGCTGGCTGGAACCTGCATTACAAAAGGAGGGCAGAAAAGGGGAGGCTTACTACAAGTGAATGCGCGTTCGTTCCAGGTGCGATCATGGCTGATCAAAGGATCGCCGGAAAGCAATATGATGTGAGAAGCAGGGAGGGTTGCGAGGTGCATCTTTCAGCAAGTTGGTCACGTTCCTGGGCCGCCGGCTTACTACATCAGTCAACCCACCCAGACCTGAAGCGCAGCATTCCCATACACCAAGCCGCATCCACCATGACAGCATCCCAGTTATCCCCAGCCATCATGGCACCAGAGCACACCTTTGGAGAAGTTGAGCGTGAAGGTGGGCTGGTCCGCGCCCAGGTAGTTGACGTGGAAGATGAGGTCCTCGGGGAGGTCGGCCTTGCTGCGCCACACCACCCACCCCACGCCGGGGTACACGAGCCCGTACTTGTGCCCGCTCACGTTGATGGACCGCACCGTGGGCAGCCGGAAGTCCCACTCCAGCTCCGGCCACAGAAACGGCGCCACAAACCCCCCGCTCGCCGCATCCACGTGAATCGGCGTGTCCCACCCGGTTTTGGCATTCTTTTCCACAAGAAAATCGTTCAGAAGCTTGATGTCCTCAAATTCCCCGTTATAGGTGGATCCGAGAATGCCACAGATGCAGATGGTGTTTTCGTCAACAGCCTCCACGGCATCGTGCGGGTCCATCACGAATGACCCTTCCTTCACATTCACGAACTTGGTCTCCACCTCGAAGTAATTAGAAAACTTCTCCCAGCACACCTGAATTCGGATACACCGACAAGTGAGAGTTCGTTAATTGTTCAATTTTGCAACCGTCAACGTGGAATCCATTGGAAATACCAACTGAAACGTATAAGCAGAGTAGATTACCTGGACTTCGGAACCGCATATGAAGTTGGGCTTATCGTACGGCAACCCCTGTGCCTTTCGCTTCTCCTGCCACTTGCGCTTGAACGCGAGTCCTGCCAGCATAATTGCCTCCGACGAACCCACGCACCCCGCGCCAATTGCGCCTTCCCCGTCCCCAAGAGGCGCGTTGTAAAGATTCGCAATGATGTTCACGCAGCGCTCCTGCATGCGAGCAACAATCAAAAGCACAATGGTAAGAAAACATGACAAGAAGCAAAATTTTGAGTTCTTGGCGAACATTGCGAACCTGGAGTTCGTTGGTAACCGGGTACTCTTCGATGTTGATGTAATTCTTATTGAGGGACTCCATGACGAGCTGGTCGCACTCGGGTTCCATCCACGTGGTCACAAACGACGCCAGGTTGAGCCGCGGATTGCAATCCAGCAGCAGCTCGTCGTGAATCATCTGATACGCCGCCTCCTTGGGAATACCCTCCTTGGGAATGTGGTACCTGCAGGAGTGGAAATTGCAAATACGAAATAATGTCAGAGTTGAGAATCCAAAAGCGAGAGTTTCTAAATCATTGTGTACCACGCTTTCGCGAGTGTGGTCGGAGTGAGACAAGTCGCTGGCGTCCATCCGTGCACGTAGGGAAAAGAAGGAATCTTTACTTGGGAACACTCGCAGAAGTGTAACGCGACGCGAAGACGGACTCGACGACATGGTCGTCATCACCAGCACCAACACCAGCAGTTGTATGAAGCATGGCTGCTGACGATCAAGACACGCTTCTTGCAGGAATGAGGATCGGTGAAGCAGCCAGCAGTGGGAAGCTTGTGTGCTGAGCGACAGCGCAGCTTCACAGGCGAAGAGAGTGGCGTTGCTTGAAATGTGAGCTCTTGGCTCTAATCTCAGCAGTTTATGTAATGGTTCCAATAGAAATGGTAGCTTTCCTGATGTCTGAAATTCCCTCCCAGTACACATAGAGATTGGCATGGGACTACGGGAAATGGGAAATATAAGAAAAACAGCCCAATCAGGTTCGTTCGACAACATCCGGGCTGCACGAGCCTGGTTTGGTTGCGATGTTTCGTGAAAAGGAATTCGGCTTGAACTGGGTTCGGGTGGCCGACACTTGAGGGAGTGACGTGGCGGTCAATAAGTATGTGGATATTCCCTCACCCCTAGGAGGCTGATCTGGCAAGATGCTTTTTTGCGCATTCTGCGTGAACAAGTTCTCTTTCGCGCGGTTCGGAGTCTGGAAAGCGTAACGTCCAGCACAGCAGCACCAGATAAGCAGTGCGATCAAGCCATCAATATATTACCCACTTTTGCTTGCTGCCAAGGTACGGAATGATCCACTACAGACAGACAGTGTACCTCTCAGGGACTTGATATGGAACCCATGTCTAGAAGTTATTGCTGCATATTGCAGGTTTACTAAGGTTGACAGCTTAGCATACTTCATATTAACAATGCGGTCATTGCAGCGCACATGCAAAACCAAGCGTCGATAGCAGAGATTGCATAGAAGCTAACCAAAGGTCTTCATGGCAATACCACCACCATAAACGGGTGTCCCATACCACAGCCTGTCACAAGCCTCTGAGCAATTTCTTGAGCTTCCTCCCTTGAACTCTTAGAAGACTCCGTGTGTGAGCCACGCTTGCTCGAATTCTTGCCGCCAGCTTCCTTCGCTGGAACTTTGCCTCTGCTGTCTTTGGCAGCCGCAGATTGGCCTGTCTTGCCTCCAGCTTCACCTCCACTGGCATCAGCACTCCAGGCAACACGGTAACTCCAGAAATTGTACACACCAGGAGAGAACACCAGTGCTGTGAGCTTCACACTAGTTTCCTCCCCTGGAGCAAGCTTGGGAATTTGCATGGCAGTCTGGCCGGCCCACATGTACGGTCCACACGCTGCTGTGCCACACGCCACCTCATCACCACCCAGCACACCACCTCCACCTGAGAAACCTCCTGCGAAGCTTCGAGGACTCGCTACTGTGCCGCCGTCCTGGCCATCCAAGTTGTTGGGGCAGTAAAAGCCAGATTTCTCAGGCAGATTCGAGCCCAGAGTGGACGCATTGACATTCTTTTCCACAGCAGGCAGCAGTGCCGGGTCGAACGTGTGGACAGCAGCAGAGGCAGGGGAGGAGGAGCAGTTTCGGAGGAGGAGCGTGAGAGAGACGGGGCAGGTGGGGTTGGACGAGAAGTCGTGCTGGAGATAAGATGGCCCATCCATTCTCCATCGCACAGCAGCAGATGCAGCAGTGGAACCAGCATTGGCGGCAGAAGCATTGTCTGCTGCTGAGCCGCTCCCTGCAGAAGCTGCTGCTCCTGTAGCAGCCCCACTAGCTGTTCCCCCTCCTCCTCCTCCTGCACTTGTGCTAGCACTTGCAGTCGCAGCAGCAACAGAGGAGACACCGTAAGCTGGGCCTACCTGGCAATTACAGATATGATGCGTCCCTATGCACACCCTATTCACGTTCCTGTCGCTCGCGTTAGTATCATCTTCGCTAGACGCTGTCTTGCTGCTGCTACTTATCGCACTTTTAGGTAAAACCAGGGAAGGCACATCTGATCCAGATGCGGAACCGGCAACCCCACCAGCAGCAGCAGCCCTACCATCACTCCCATTCCCTGGCCCCTGCTCCTGATACTCCCACAAAAGTACCACATCCAGTAGTTCACCCCCTTGCCCACGCACACTTCCCCCTCCCCCTGTGCCTCCCCCTCCCCCACTGCCTGAGCGCCAAACGGGCCGTGAGCCAATCCCAGGGCTCCCCGTCCCCCCCGCTCCCCCTCCTCCTGGGGGAGTGGGCCAGGAAGGTGGGCGGCTGGGGGTGAAATGGCCGCGGGGGGAGAGAGGAACGGAGCTGGGGCGAGCGGTGTTGAAGCGGGAGTGGTGCAGAGAGATGTGCAGAGGTTGCTTCGGAGGAGGGGCGTCAGGGTTGGTGACGGGATCTGGGGGAGGGAGAGCCTGGGAGAGGTAAGATCGAGGGTGGCAGGAGGCGCAAGAGGGGGAAAGAGCTATCACTGGTTATTAAAGAGAGAGAGACTGTGAGAACAACAGTGGGAGCATTGTACATGGGTACTCAGACTTCCGACTTCCCCAGAGGTGAAACTTTGCGATGCAAGTGTGGGGCATTCAAGCAATGGCATTCAATCTGGAAGGCAATAAACGAACAGACATGCGTTCCAGATTCCACCACGTTGACCCAAAACCCTTCCATATGTGCGGGGTGTGCATGGAGAGAGTATCTGGGGAGGATCAATGAGAGGGATGTGTGAATGCGCTTAGGACTTCAAGAGTTGCGTGATTCACCTGGAACACGTGATTCACCTGGAACACTCGTTCCCTGAGGTGCAGGGCGTGCAAGGGGTCTCTGCGGATGTCAATGAGAGGCTCCGCCTGCCCCCCCATCCTCGCATCACTCTTGAAGCTCTCCCTGTCCGCGCGCTCGTTCTTGGCTGACGAGGCGAAATCCTGCGATCGATGAAAGAAGGAATGACAGTTTTTTAGGTGAGTCGAGTGAGAAGGGTTGTTGCAGGTACAAATGAGAAGACATGCCTGCCTGCATGCGAGGGCTCAAGTTGCTGTCGAGTCTGTGTCCCTCCCTATGTGAGCCTCTCCAGGCACTGAAGATATTATGGAGGGATATGTTCAATGCACTTGGAGGAAATGTTCAAGTAGTACCAAGATGCATCTGGCTAGGACGAACCTGAATGTGGAAGAAGAGTGAGGTGCCTTGGCCAGGAGGCAGGATCTGGGGTGCAGCCAGTGCTGCAGATAGCAACGCCCCACTCATCTGCTGCTCCTCATCCTCCAGCTCGCTCTCCTGTTGCTGCTGCCTCTGGCCGTCCAGATTCGACGAACCAGAATCAGCAGCAGAAGAAGTGAGGGAAGGTTGTCGTGGTTGGGCGGGTTGCAGGGGAGCGAGGCGCCAGTGGGAGCCTGGGCAGGAGACCTGGCGCAGCCAGAAGGTGCGGCTGTGGTTGTGATTCTCCACGTCCATGCGGAGCAGGTAGCATGCGATGTCCGCGTTGCTGGGAGCTATGCGCAGTGACACGTGCAGGGACGGGTGGATCTGTAGAATTGGGGTTGGAGGAAAGGGATGGACAAGAAGAGAGGGGGTTCAGAAAAGAATAAGCTTGTTAGACACTGCAGAAGTGACTGTGATCTCACGTGTCAATGCACTGCATTCAAAAAGCAGGGTTCAATGCACGAAGATGCGTGGGCTGGATGGGCATAAATGGCCTGGATCAAGGGCAAGGTACTTCAAGAGGAGATGCAAGAGGTAGGGCAGAGAGAGGAGAGGCAGCTGGAGAAGAGGCAGCTGGAGAAGAAGAAAAGAGTGAACTAGTTACCGTGATTGTTTGTCGCAGACGCAAGGTACGAAAGGTCATGGGGGCGTGCGAGGAGAGGTGAGACGGATGATGCTGCGATGGTCGATGGTGTGAGTGATGCCCATGTCCATGCCCATGGCCGTGGGATTGATGCGAGTGGTGGTGTGTGGGGAGAGGAGGAGGGAACGACCCTCCCTCTGCCCCACTCCCAGGGCCCACGCCCCCAAGAATGCTGCCCACAGAAGTGGCAGCAGCAGAGGCAGTTCCAGCAGCACCACTCGCATGGGCAGGTTCGAAGAAGACAACAAGGCCAAGGTCCAGAGAGGTTGTATCAAGAGGGTGCAGCCAGAGGGGCCACACCAGCGATGCTCCTCCTTCCAGGATGAACCGCTGCCATGTGGTGGGGCAGGAAGGGGGGTTCAAGGGGAGGAGGAGAGGGATGGGGTGGGGCAGGAAGAGTAAAGGCTTGCTCTTCAGTGGAAGACTGAAACACACTCGCACACACTGCACAACTTGCACAGACTCGCACCAACTTCACTAGCACTCTATCGCATTGACTCCCTTCAGATCGCCTGCCCATCATTATTGTTTTCAGATTTTCCAAAGCTAGGCAGCAGATTAAATGCTGGAAAAATGGAATACTGCAGAGGGCTTTTAAGCATAAAGAGTGAACAGACGGGAGCGTACAGATGGGAAGGAGAAGATGAAGCCATTCTTCATACTGCCGTGATCTCCCTGCGGGTCTGTCACACTCCGACTGCGCTCCACAGGCAACCCTCCCTCTGCCGCCACCACCCCACTCCCTCCTCCACCACCGCTGGTTCTTTTAGTCCCCTGAACTCCACCTGTGGCTTCCCCCTCGTCCACTTGCTGCTGCTCCAGGCATGCAGGCAGGCGGGCATTGCGGTCTGCAGGGTCGCCCAGCAGCAGGCAGGCTGGGTGGGATGTGCGCAGCTTTAGGCGCTGATAGGATGCAATGGAGGGGGGAAGGGGGAGAGAAGGAGAGAGGGGAAATAGCTAATGAGATTTGCCAAGGAGCAAGCAGGTGGAATGTCGTAGGCATGGAAAAGGGGGAAAGGTAAGAAGGAGGAAAGGTTAGAAGGGGGAAAGGTTAGAAGGGGGAAAGGTTAGAAGGAGGAAAGCAGGTGGTGGAAGCAATGTGGGGTGCCTCACAGCATGAGAAGATGGCTGGGTGAATTGGGGAACAGGAAGATGGATGATAGCCGACCGATAGACTCACCTTAAGCGGCACATGTGATGTGTTGGTGAGCTTGAGTTGCAAGCGGTAAAGCTGCCCCTCCACTGCCTCCTCTGGCATACCCTCTAGCTCCGCCTGAACTCGTGGCATCTCCTGCTTGCATGAGCACGAGAGGGAATGGAAGTGAATAGACGTGCAGGCTTCATTCATGTAGGTCGCACGAGAAATCCACAACCGCACCAACACTTCAAAAGAACACCACAGCAAAGCAGGAGAAGGCTGTGGTATGGGACAGCGATGCATAACACACAGAAAGAAATGCTGCAGGATGACTCAGTGAGGAAGCACATCGCACCGGAATGACATGGAAGTGCAGGCGCTGGTGGGTGGGCAGTTGGCGTGAGGGCTTGCCCTTGCGCTTGGGAGGTGCCTTGATGTCGAAGAGCGAGCGGCTGACGGCTGTGCGGCCCTCGCTGGTGATGGCCCACTCCACACCGAATATGTGCAGCACGCCCACACGGCATGGCCGCACCTTCAGACGCACCTAGGAGTGAAGTAGAGGTTTGGAGGCGGATGGGTGGGGGCGGATGGATGTGGAGGGGTGTAGAGGTTGGGAGGTAGGTGTGGCATCAGTGTGTAGGAGGTAAGGGTAGGTTGATGAGGTAGAGGTGGAACACATGGGAGGCGGAGTGTTGGAGAGCAAGGGTAAGGATGAAGAGAGGAGAAACGAAGCTGGACAAGTAACAGGGTGGAGTGGAGAATGGCAGAAGGGTATCGAATTGCGTATGGATGGAGGAGCAATGACTGACAGGTTGGTACTTACTGTGACACGTTCACCCGGCTTCAAGGCAAAGGCAGTCTTCTCAGCCACATACGGCTCTGTCAATCCGCTACCAGCAATAGCCGCTGCTGCACTGGCACTCTGCATGTTGCCCTCCTTGCCCTTCTCCTCCTTCCCCGCTTCTACCTTTCCTGCCTTCTTGCTCCCCCTTCCATCTGCTCCTCCAGTTAGTGCTGACTGGTTAGCAGCTCCACTGCCCTGCTGCTGCAGATTGCTTCCCTCTGTTCCCTTGGCAAGAGCACGCTTCCCATCATCCTCACTACCCTTGCCTTGGTCCTCATCACCGGTGGTGGTATCAGCGAGAGGGTGCAGGAAGAGAGCAGGGTCGTCTGCCGCAAGGTCGCTTTGGGATTGACTCTTTCGAGATGCGCTGTGGACAAGAGGAGTGGAGATGAGTGGAATCAGAGGCCAGGTTTTTGAGACGTCTCATGAGACGTCTCAAAAGGAGATGAGTGGAACCAGAGGCCAGGTTTTTGAGACGTCTCATGAGACGTCTCAAAAGGAGATGAGTGGAATCAGAGGCCAGGGACAGTGGGACGGACGGGAAGGTGTAATCGCTCGCGAGGGAAGGGAAGGACGCAGTTTGCACAAGGAGCGTGGTGGTTATACAGAAACATATGAGGCAAGCAGAATAAGCGCAAGCATAAACGAGTGGGGCGCACTCGACACACGAAAAGAGTCGTTGCACATCCTCACCTCCCGTCGTCACGCCCAGAGCTCTCCCACAGTGACTCTGAGCTCTCTGCTTGATCCAGAACGGGAGAGCTTGCTGCACGCACCAGCCCTGAGAGCCGTGGGGGTTTGGCATGCAATAAGGAAACCAGTTTCAGGAAACCAGCAGGGGTTCATTCAGCAAAAAAGTCAGCTGCGATGTCCCATTCACCTACCCAGAATCGAGGTGACTTAACACTCCAAGTCACCATAGCTTGGCTTGGCAACACGTGGAAGGAGGAAGAATGGAGGTGCAAGGTAGCATCACATCTACCAGGAAAAGTTCGTAAGATGCTCCAGCAGCCCACCTGATCCATCCTTAGCAGCGGCATTTGGTGATGTGGGCCGGCTGTGGCTAGAGGTGGGAGCATCAGAAGCAAGGTCACCAGCAGCAGAGGGCGACGCGGAAGGCACTGCTGCAGGTGATGCGCCCAAGTGAGAGGCTGGGGAGGATGGGGCATTGGCTGCTGCAGTGCCGGTGCCAGAGCTGGTGGTGGTGGTGGTGGAGGAGGAGGAGGAGGAGGAGGTGTCGTAGTGATGGCAGAGCAGATGCACGCCAGATATCTGCAGGGCAATCTGAAGAGGGTTCCAAAACTCCACGTCCACTCCAATGTCCTCTGGAAGGAAGGAAGGCAGAAGTAGACGCAAGGAGGAGGAATATGGTTCAGAGCAAAGCCAGGAGGGTAGTGAGCATGCGGCCACGCTCATTCATGGCCCCAAACAAAGAAGTGCACGCACGCACCCCCTGCGACACAGGTGTTGGTGGCGATGGTGTCATGCGCCCCTGCGCGTGTCTTGGAGGGCGCGTCCAGCCACGTGGGCACCACCATGGCTGCTGCTGGCGGCACCACCCCCTCCTCCAGTGCCGACCAAAATGACTCTGGGAGCTCCTCCTGGTGAAAGCAACATAAATGAGGCGGTTTGTTGGTGTCAGTCGAGCTCGAAGCTTGGAGGCATACGCGTCACTAGCGATCGAGGGGGCTGGAATAGATTAGAGCGGTAATAGAAAGTGATGGAAGGGGCTACGGTGGGTGGGCTTAGATTAGCAAGAGAAGATTGGCGAAGTGATGGTTTGACGTGTAGCAAAAGAAAGATCTGGTCCGTAGCGGTGAGCAGGGTTGGTCGGCCAAGTGTGGCCTGTGGCCAGAAAGAATCAGGCTGGTTGGAGGGGTGTTAAGCTACAACCATAGCAAGACAACAGAGCAGAGCGGATGCATGTATGGGTTGTAGAGAATCGGCTTACAGAGGCAGGGGATGCGAAGATGCGGTGGTCCTCAAAGTGGACGTACACCTTCTGTGTGTTGACGTGTGGCAGCGGCAGCTCCAACGCTCCCTGCTTGTCCTTTGACTGCACTGCCTGTAGGGTGAAGCGATGCAGCAACGACAGAAGAAGGAGGATGTGGAAGGATCTGATAGAAGGCGATCTGGCCAATGTAGGTTCATTTGCGAGACGGGAGAATTAAGTAACCACGTTCCATCCCACAATTAAAATGTAGACACTACTACCCATTCTTGAATGGGTCTGCATCTACCTTGCAGGCTTGCACCACACTTGGTCAACATGTTCCTCAATGCATCTACCTATTTCCACCGCATTGCACATACTTCAACCATTTACCTGCACCAAACTGCATCTTCCTGAACCATGTACAAGTGTCTCACTCCATCTGCCAACACCCCGCCCTGATCACCTACCTGCACCACATAGAGGAACTCTCGCAGGAAAGTGGCTTGCATGGCGGCAGACTGGTGGGCGCACGCCAGCAAGCGGACAAAATACACCACCGCCCCGTTGTAGCTGCCAAGGTATGCTGAAAGCCTTCACAGAGAGAAGGGGGGAGAGGAGGGGAGGAATGGAAAGAGAGTGATGATGGAAAGTGTGGGAAATCGATTAGGGCGCAGAGAAGAAAGACGAGCGAATGGGTTCCAACCGATGCAAGTAACCAGCTTCTTTGTCAAACAACAAGTGGCACTCAGAGCATGATACTGAAAGAGATGCCGAACCCATGGGCTTGTGCGGCTATACCTGCCAAGCGTGAAGTTGCAGTGGTCTAGGATGAAGTTCCAGCCCTTGTCACGATACACGCCCTCCACACACTTATACGCCCGCATGGCATGTTTTCGCTGATGGCACACAAGGACAAGTGCACAGGAGAAGGAATGTGCTCAGATATTGTGCCCGGATATGAAGCGTGATGAGCACAGCCAACGAGGTGGGTCAGCTTCTCGCTCATGCCCTCGCCAACATGGTGCCTCTGTGAGTGGCACTGTTCACCCATGCATCAGCACGCCCAAATATCAACACAAGGATTCTTTCATCAACGCGTTTAGCAGTAACACCAGTTGGTTAACGTGCGATGGGATACCACCGCTCACATGGTGCCACGGAAAGTAACATAAGCAACAAGCGCACTTCGCTCCTCACATGCCCGTCTACTACTCTCACCAAGGGGGAGAACTCTCACTACATTCTCCCTCACTCCAACCCTCCCTCCTTGCCACCTTTCCTCCGCTCCCCTCACTTCGCTTGCATGACATTAGACGTAGCACTACGCCACCTTCCCTTCTTCTGCTCCTTCTGTCCATTGCCCCTTTTCTCATCCCCTCGCCCTTCTGCCTGCATGACATCCACCCGTGCAGCTTCCTCGCCTGCATGGCATCAGACTGCGTTTCCCCCCTCTGCCCTCCATCTGCTACCTCTATTCACCGCCCCTTCTCGGATGAAGGTTCACCCCCGGATGAAGGTTCACCCCCGAATGAAGGTTCACCCCCGGATGAAGGTTCACCCCCGAATGAAGGTTCACCCCCGGATGAAGGTTCACCCCCGGATGAAGGTTCACCCCCGGATGAAGGTTCACCCCGGGATTAAGGTTCAACATGGTGTCAGCAATCGTTTAAAAATGCTTGCAAGACAAGCGAAATTGAAATCCAGATGTTCACCTGGGAGGCGAGGTTGTATCGGTTGCCTGCGAGCACCATGTGGAAGCCGTACTTGCGCAGCATGGGAGGCGTCACTCGCACAAAGCAGACAGCTGCCTGCTCCAACAACACTGCTGCCTTCACTCCACTCTCCTGCAATGGGGGGAGAGAGAGGGGAAGTGTGGTTTGTGGAGGGGGGAGATGGCGGGGGCAAGGCATGGGCATGGGCAAGTGGAGAGGAGAAAGGGAAGGAAGAAAGAAGAGCTGTTACCAGGTAAAGAGGGTGGTGGAAGTATCATTGGAATGTTGCAGGAAAGCCCAGTGGAATGTGCGAAGCATAACTACAGGCCACTCAACAACATTTCCCACCACAGATCAAAGAATCAACGAAGAACTCTCTAAGTGAAGGTGGAAGGGAGAACCTACCTCCAAAGATGCACGCATGAGGGTGAGTGCAGCATCTCGGAAGTTTCCCTTAGCCTTAAACATCCCAATCATCCAGAAGACTGTTCTGAGGGCAAAGCGGGCTCCCAGTGGACCACAGCGCTGACAGGGATGGGAGCAGATGGAGGAACGTTAGGGAGGATGGAAGATACGGGAAGAGACGAAGCTGACGGAGGGGGAGAGGATAAAAGAGGAAAAGAGCGGAGAGGAAGAGCGGGTGGGGGAGGGAAGTGGGGGTTGGGGGAAGGGGAGAGGGGGATGGGGGAAGGGGAGTGCAGGGTGGGGGAAGGGGAGGGGAAGGAGAACACAAAACAGGAAGAAGGTTGACAGGAACGAAAACGCGCCTGAATTGCCATAGTGAGTGAAATACCTGGTATGAGGCGTAAGCGCTCTCCATGCACTGCTCCATTTCCCTTCGAGAAATCTCCAAGAGAAAGAGTGACACTGCCACCATTTCCTGGAACCAACATAAAGATCCACACATCCCAATCCCCCATCATTTACACAAGCGTGATCACACACACATGCAGACTTCAATGCATACACCCACACAATTGCAGAATCAGTCGCACGCACACACATACATGCACGCATGCATGCACAAACATGCACACAGACATCGATGCCCATGGCACACATGGGGACAACGAATGATAAGGTCACACAGAAACGCAATCTGCTGCAATAGCAGTACAAAACTTGGAACCAGGCGATGTGAGTTTCAAAGAAATCAGAGCATGATCAAGGACGATATGCATGAAAGTCACAGACGGTGCGCTTCGCATTACTCAAACCCCTCAAGAACCAGTGATTCGCCCAGCGATTGACTGACCTGCGCCCCAGCGTAGTGCTTCCACGCCTTGTCTCTGCGGTAGTCTGCCGCCACGAGCCGGTAGTTGTCCAGCGCAAGCTGGAAGTCCTGCAGCATCATGGCTGCGTCCGCCAGCTGGCGGATCTGAGACTCAGGCGAGCGGTAGGTGTAGCTGAGAAGGGGAAAGATCGATGAGTTTAGTACACTGGCTGAGAGGGGGCAAGAGGGAGGGTGGCTAGGGAATGTCGTATAGAATGGCCACAGTTAAAGAAAGTGCAATCGGGGAGGGGGAGTGTGTGGGGGCCGTGACAGAGGGATGAAAGGGCCATGGCAAGGAAGGGAGGGGAGACAAAAGGTGCTTACACGCCGGGTGTGGCGTCTGCCGACTCTTCCTTCCCCTTGCCAAACCACAAGTTCTTGATCTGGTTGCGTAGCCCACGACGACTGGCTGAGATCTGGGGCATTCATATTCGTGGATGCAAACACAAACAAACACCCGCATACATACACATGCACACATCCACACATTTACACAGACTTGCTCGCGATCACATGTATTGGAGGCCCAGACAAAAACAGAGACTGAAGCTGATGTAGACGGGAAGCGAGGAAAACACCACAAACTGCCTGTTGGTCCACTTGCCGGATCATTAGGTTCCTCCACCAACCTGCTGGTTGAGGTCTCGCGCCTTTCGCTCGAGGTGAGGTACGAGGTGCTTCACACTGAGCTCCATCATCATGTCCGCCACCTCCCTCACGTCCGCCTCACTCATATACTGCCCCACCGCCCCTGACACCGGCGGACCTGAGGGGCTCTGTGGCAACTGCAGGAAGCAGGGGAGAACGAGAGGGGTGGAGGAGAAGAGGGGGGTCGGAGAGCGAGGGGATTTTGGGAAGGGGAGATGAGAGGTTGAGGGAGAGGGGGGGAAGAGCAGGGCGTTGTGGTTAGTCCAAAGCCGATACCACGAGTCCTCCTTACCGCAGTGCCGGCAGGAGGAGGCGGTGCGACCCCTCCAACGGGGACAGGGCGGTGCTTGGTCCAGATGTCAGGCCGAGACTGGCTGGGAGCAGCGGCAGAGTTGATAGGCAACAAGCGGCAGACAGGGCTGCCAAAAGCAGCACGCATCTCAGCTATAGTGAGCTCGACTTGAGAGGAGGTGGAGGGAGGGCCGAGGGAGGAGCAGTCGTGCAGGAGGAGGTAGTGCAGGTGCAGCTTGGGGTCCATGGTGCCGTCACGGTAGAGCGCAGGCAGGCGCTCGGGAGTCATGAGCTCACGCAAGGCGCGCACAGGGAAGGGCTCTGACGTGGAGGCGACCAGCAGACCTGGGGTGGTGGTGGGCGTTGGTGGATTTGGAAGCGGAACATTGCAGGACAGTGAGTTGAAAGCAGATGGATTTGTACTTGTCGTCAAAGCGAAGGAGTTCGGTAAACAGAGACAAGGATGCAGAAAGATAAAAGGGCGAGCAAAGGGAGATGTGCCTTTATGAAAGTGGACAGTGAGGAGGGAGCTTACACGCAATGGGATGATCAAAGGTCTCGTGGTCAGAAAAGACGAGTGTGCGCATGAGCTCGTCGGTAAAACGCTGAAACCAACAAGTCCGGTTCTCCGCATTGGCCACTGTAGCCACATAGACGAAAAGGGTGGGGAAAGGAAACGAGGATTCAGGGTGAATGGGGGAAAAGGGCCAAATGGGAAGAGTGCAGTAAGGGAGGGATAAAACATCATAGCACATGCTCTTGCCCAGACTCTGCACGAAGGTTCCACTGGACTGAATGAATTTGGGGGACGAGGGTGGGGGTTCCGGGGGGGGGAGAGGGTGGAGTAGAGAGGAGAGGCGAGGGACATCCAGATGCGGTGCAGAGGAATGCATCGTATACGTAGCTCAGTCCACTTTGCATGTGCGCTCTCATCTTCATAAATGAGATTAGGTAAGCTCAGTGCTTGCTGCTGCTCATAATTCCCCCTCATAACTCACACAATCCCCCATTCATAACTCCCTTCTTCCCGTCATGCTCTTGGGTACGGCTCAAAAGGTCACGCCCCCCCTCACGTCAACTCACTGCCAATGATGGAGTTGAGGTCGCTCGGGTCTGCCCCCATCAGCTCTGCGTCTGCCGCCTCACTCGCGTTTGTCACAAAGCGCACACAAAAATCTTCTGCTGCCTGCTCCCGGACCACCGTAGCGCACAGAAAGTTAGCATATAACAATTAGACAAAAATAAGGCTACGGATGTGCATTCCCATTTCCCCAAGTACCTCTTGGGACGGTTGCTGGATTTCGCTAGCATAGAATACTCGCACGCGAAAGTCGTGCAGGCGGTATGAATGCTCGCCCGCCGTGCGCACGGGCACTGCAGGAGAGGTGGCGCGAGGGGAGGAAGCGGGAGCGCGACAGGAAAGGGGATGAGGGAGTGAGACGTGAATGATGCCTGATGAGGCGTGGGATCTTAACAAAGTCGGCGCAGTCAGGATACAGTAGAAGGGAGGGGGATGCCAGTCATCGTCGACATGGAAAAGCACGTTAGCGCGCACCGATTAACAGCGAGATTGGAATCTCACCGTTGAGGTTGGAGAACTCGCAGTGCGGGCGGAGCAGGTCGACGAAGCTCAGCGCGTTCTTCTGGCAGGCAGCCTCAGCGGCGGCGGTCGAGAGCACCATGAGCGCGGGGCACATGCGCTCACGGAGGCTCTCCCCCAGCATCGACCGCTCCATGCTGCTGCGCTGGTACCCTGACCCGCCCCGCGTCATCGGCGCTCCTGTTAAAAGATCCATAGTGAGACGGACTAAGGCGGTGACTCGGTGCTAAGGATTCTCACGAATGAGCACACACGCTGGGGGCAAGTGGCTGCTGGCGCGCCTTCACTTCACTGTAATATTGTGAGGACTGAATCTACCTTTCATCCTCACGAGGATGTGAAAGGAACATGCTTTTGCAAAAGAGAGGGCGTCTCGATGTTAGCACGCGCGGTAAGAAAGAATGACCTGAAAAGAAACAAATCGTACACATGAACTGTGCTGTACTCACAAAAGTGAACAAATTTCCTCCAATCACTCCTCAATCCTCCCCGTCCCCCCCGCCACTTCCACCACCACGTCGCCCCTGTCGGCAAGGATTATCAGTCGTCTTGACTGCTTGCATTCCCTCCACTCCACTGAAATGTCACTTCCGAACCAATCCCCATGTTTTCGCCGCCACCAACGTTCACCCTCCCCAGACAACCGCGACGGCCATGGCAGAGCCACCAGAGCTCACTCCAGGTCCCGCCGCAAAACCCGCCGCAGGGTTTGCCGCAGGACCAGCTGGAGAGGCTGTCGCGGCTCAGCCCGCAGAAACCGCTACAGGTCTAACGGCCATGTCCGTAGCTAGTATGCCGCCGAGTGTGGTATCCATGGCTTTAAACAAACCCACCGTTCATATTCCTTCCCGTCTCCGCATGGCCCCGCAGCAGCATAACCACCCTCACCAGCTAGAGGAAGACCAACTGCGGGAACCACAGTCGAGGACCGAAACTAAAAGAAAGAGAATTTTCTGGCTGACGTCCCTGGGCTCTCTGCTTGGCCGCAAGGTGGCGGAGCTGCTCTGGCCGTCGCTACGCCACTTTGCTTTGGGGCTGCTGGTCGATGCTCTTGGCTTCTCCATTGGGCTGGCCACTTCTCTCGTGATCGGATGTAGGCTTCTGGACAAGCGGCGGTCGTTTGAAGTCAGCACTCCCCAAGTAAAGCATTTAAATTGGTCCGAAATGCAGGGCAATTGCAAGAGCATTCAGATGCTACGTGAATGTTGCATTCTTCCTGCATCAGCGGGTAATGCACTGCTGCTTACTACGTGTCTAAGAAAACTTTTGAGTCGACTCAAAAGTCATCTCGCTCCGTGAATGTTGCATTCGTCCTGCATCAGCGGGTAATGCACTGCTGCTTACCACGTGTCTAAGAAATTGCTCTTGCTGCAGGTCCGGCGGGTGCTAGCAGTTACAGACGAGGATCACTTGGATCGTCTCCGAGGCTCTCTGCCAGGCTGGGTGAAAGACCCTGGCTTAGAGCCGGCTCGCTGGCTGAACCATGTGATAGCGCGATTCTGGCATGTGCTGAATCCCGCACTCAGCAAAATCTTCGTGGAAAAGCTGTGGCCGGTGAGTCCTGCGTCCAGATACCCAGCTCCTGTTGCTCTGACATGAGAGTAAGGAACTTAACTCTAGGGTTGTGTCTGCTACATGCAAGCGCAATTACTACGCACCTACTTCAGAGTTTCAGCAGATGCACCAGCAAAAGATGATGCGATCTTGTCTCTTCCCACCAGGCCATTTGCAGGCATAAACGATTTCCGGACAACTTGCTTCAAATTGAGGACTTCTCGTTCGGGTCGTTCCCCCTGGTAGTGGAGTATGTCAAGGTGCGCAGTGATGAGCTCAGCGTTGGGTTGCTCAATAGCCAGGATGAACAGGCTCTGTCACATTTCGTTTCTTCAGCCCCAAAGATTCCACCATTAATGTCATGTATCGGTTGGACCTTCCACAAAGCACTTGACTCTTGCTGTCCCTCGAAACTTCTCCTCATCCCCTCTTTCCTTTCATCCCTTATCACTCACCGAGGGAAGCAGATGGTCGAATCTCATGAGTCTGCAGCCGTGCTTGACCTCAAGGTGCACCTTGCCACGAACTCCAACGCAAGGGCCATCTTGACTTTGCCAGGGAGTGTGCTGAGACTTCCAGCAGTCGAAGAAAACGATGACTGCTCATCCACCTTGCACCTCTCTCAATTCGTGGGAAAAGCAGTCTTGCGCGTGTCGTTCGCTCCATTGGTTCCCAAATTCCCTTGCTTTGGGAACGTCCACTTCTCTTTCCTCGAAAGTGTAAGACAACAGGAGCTCGTAACCACTTTGCAGACTCATGACCGTCCACTTGAGAACATTGAAGCCATGCTGATTCCATGCCATTACCACATATCTTGTTTTGATGTCTTGATGCAGCCAGAACTGGACTTCTGTCTTTCCGCCTATGCGGGGCTTGACCTCATGTCACTTCCTGGCATCTCCGGCCTCTTGCACAAGAAGATCCAATCGGCTATTGCGGGTCACATGCTATGGCCAAGGCGCTTCACACTCCGCACAAAGGCAGCAGCAGTGACAACAGGTAGAACCAAGCGAGCAGTTGGTACCGTGACAGTGGAGGTAGTGGAGGCCACAGAGCTAACTCAAACAGGACTACTTCTGGCACAGAATATCCTGTATCCATCACCCTATGTCAAGGTGCGTTAGTGGATTGAAAGCTTGTTAGTTGCAATGAGAAAAAAAATGCTTATGGAAATGGATGACTATTTTTTTGCAGGCTTACATCGATCCAAGCCGTTCTGTGTCCACCGCCATTGAGTCCTACACCTGTGACCCGGTGTGGCGTGAGGTGCTTCGTCTTCCTGTGATCGATCAGGAGGCGGATGCCCTGACATTTGAGGTTCACGATGCGACAGCACTGCTAGTGGACAGTTTGATCGGCTCTTGTGTTCTTCACATCAGCAATCTGCAGCCAGGAATTTCACAGGTATGTCCACTTGAAGAGACGTGTAGATGTTAGCTGCCTGGAACAACAAGTTTTGATCAGTTTGGAAGGACTTCAAAGGGCTGTGTGCTGATATAATACAGGAGCTACTCACTGCAGCCATCTGTGTTCTTGCTGTCATTCCCTTCTGCAGCACTTCACGCTAGGTCTCTGGAGCAACCGGGGCCTGCCATGCGGTGAGCTAGAACTCATTGCAACCTTCAGAGTCCTGCAAAGCGAGACAATGCCGCGGAAGCTTCTATCGGAAGATGCAGTGCTCGCAAGACCTGGAATGCAACCGCGCCTGCAGCTTCATGCTGATGGGCCTGGCTTGCTGGAGGTGGCTGTGTGGAGAGGTTTGGATCTAGATGCAAGCAGCTGGCTGGGGAGAAACCCGGACGAAGCTCAATTTCTGTGCAAGGTGTTCCTTGCAGGAGAGGAGCGAGTGACCAAGGTGAGAGCTCATTATCCTCCAAAGTTTGTCCCTTGAGAGCTGCCTTGCCATCATTTTTGCTACTTTGAGTATGTCGATTTGATTCCATGATTGCAGGTTGCTGAAGGTAGGGGGAATCCACAGTGGGAAGAGTCGTTTGAATTTCTGCTTGATCAACCTCCAGTTACTGAGAAACTGCTGATCGAGGTGTGGAGTCGGAGCCCAGAAGCAATGCTGGTTGGTTCTGCAGAGAAGATGGTGGGTTCCGTGGAGATCCCTTTGTGTGATGCGCTGAAGAACAAACGCATTGTTGACATTTTCCAGCTCCATCACACAAAGCAGGGGTACTTAAAGTTGGAACTCCAGTGGCGCTTGCTTGCTGAAGCCAGCTGACAGGCTTAATGTTGTGGAAGTATCCTGCAGAAAATACTTGTGTTAGGTCAGGCATAAGTTATGTGAGCTTTTCAATAATAGGCAAACTTCACATTCTATGCGAAACGTTTGCCCCACTTGTGTGGACTTGAAGTATGAAGTTTTTCCTGACGTCAAACAATACGGTGCACAGGTACGGTACCGGTAGTTACGGTAATATGAAGTTCATCCAGCAACTGGGAAAACCCATTTTGGGAATCATTCGGAATTCACAACACAGTAATCTCTTGCGGTCTTGGAATGTTGGCTTCCTGGTACATTGCCCAGGTAATTAAAAACAGAGCACCAATACTGATGCCAATACTAGGGCAGATAATCCAACAGCTGGAAACACCCAGCGTGGAAATTGTTGTGGATTCACAATAGCATCTTCGTCAACAGCTGAGCAGTTACAGCTTGTTTCAGAGAAGTCCCTCATTATGATTGGAAAAGCTTCCTGCTGAAGCGATACTGATGATGAATGCTCCGCCGAGATTTCTGCCTGAATGAGTGGAGCGTTTATTTCATTCAGCTTGATTGTCATGTTTCCGATGTGTGAAACTTTCTCATGAGATGACTGAAATACAAGCTTCGGGGGATCTGCCATGGAAATAAGAGGTGAGCATTCGTGACTTGAAGCTTCTTACACAACAGCGGGCCGACCTGATAAGCAGCCGACGTCGCCGCATGTGATGCTTGCTTCATAAATCATTTCCCGCTGCAAGTCAATCAATGGTACTTCTGCGTAATATTCCGACGAAAGTGCCAGTTCCTGGAGAACCCTTTCATTGCTGAGCTCGATTACATGGAGATGACAAGCGGAAGAGCACTCATTATTGATCATGGTGACTCCCAGAAAATGCACAGCCTGAAATGGGACGAAGCCTGCCAAAAGGGAAGCTGATGAGTCTGACTGATGATTCGATGAACGTTATCGTGTGCGTTCGTTTTCTTATCTGGAAGCCAGACCTGAGACACCCTCTTTCTTGTCGACAATGACTGCACAGGCTGTTGGAAGAATAACCAGGAAACACAAGATAGCCTTTACGAGCGTGAATTGAGGCGTCAGTTCATTCCTGGAAGCCATGTCTAAGAACAGAAAGTGGTGCTTTTTTGATTTGATTGTCTAGCGAGAATTGGCGAACAGGGCCAATGTGTAAATACGTGGAGACGTGCGTGGTGTGGTGCCTTGATTCTGGTTTGTTGTGGGTCAAGTGATTTCGGGATTCCTGGTTACCATTTCAAATGTCGTTACGGTACACGTAAAACATCAGAGCGCAGAGATTTGTTTCGTCAATTCGGTTAACTTGTGGCTGGTTACATCACTCTGCCCAAAATAAGGAAGCATGCTTGGACTGTACGATCTTCACGAC